TGAATCCCAGCCGAAGGCAGGGTTGCTGCTCACTTTCCTGGAGGCAACCCGCACTTTGCTGGCTGAGGTGTGTGTGCTTTATTTTTGTGTTAAACTTACTTTCAGCAAGTGGCTGCTCACTCTCTTGAGCCAGCCTGTGCTCTGTGCTGAACTTAAGTGTGTTTTTCTTGCTTTTGTGTTAACCTTGATGTCTGTGCTGAACTTACTATTGTATTAAACTTGGTGAGGGCCCTGCTTGGTCTCTGGAGCTAGGCCACACTCTCTCTGTGGAACCTGCAGTTCTTATCTGGTATATCAAACCTGTTCTTACTGTCTACTGTGACTCTGCCCTTGAATTCTTTCCTGTGGCAGAGTCAAGAACCTGGTAAGAGGACGGGGCTGTTGAGGCCAGCTATGGGGCTCCCCAAACCCTTCCTCTGGCATCAGAATGATTTCTCACTGGAAATTATGGAAACTAGAGGAAGTAGCACATTATTTGATTACTGGAAAAAATAAAGAAAGAAAGAAAAGTAAAGGAACTGTCAATGCAAATTTTAAAGTGGTGAAAATATTCTTCAGGATTAAAGGGAAAATTATAACATTCTCAGACGAAGGAAAACTAAGAGAATTTGTTGCTAGCAAACCTCCTGCTAAAGGAAGGCTACAGGAGACTGGCTGGTTCGCTCACTCAGTTAGAACGTGCTGTGGTAACACCAAGGTCAAGGGTTCGGATCCCCATACTAGCCAGCTGCCAAAAAAAAAAAAAAAAAAGGATGCCGGGTTAAATTTGAATTTCAGATAAACAATGAGTAATTTTTTAGTATAATGTTTGGGACGTACTTACATTTTAAAAATGCATTGTTTATCTGAAATTCGGATTTAACTAAACATGTTGTATTTTTATTTGCTAGATTTGGCAGCCCTGTCTAAAGCAGGGCAGGGAGAAGCAGCGAGAGGGCAAGGCTACCCCCTGAGGAGGGGCAGGGGCAGCGGGGCGGGACGACGGGGTTGGTGCTAAGAGGCAGCCTCGAAAAATCATCTTCTCCACCTGCTGCCGGGAACGTCCGCATCATCCACAATTAGTCGTCACCACTTTGCCGCTGCCAGCTCAAGTGAAAATGTGGTCTGGAGAGAAAGCATATTAACCATCAACACTCTAGCACGAATTAGTCTATAACGTCACACATCTACTCATTATAGCCAGCGGTCCTGAGGCAGGGAGACTCTAGAGAGGGTGGCGCTGACGACCCTTTTTCTTCATTTTTCCCCAGAAGTGGTTAGTCTCTGGGGAACAAAGGATGGCATTTGAACTCATTTTCCGTGGTTCTCACCCTGGGCTGCCCTTATAAAGTCACACATCTACTCATTATAGCCAGCGGTCCTGAGGCAGGGAGACTCTAGAGAGGGTGGCGCTGACGACCCCTTTTCTTCTCTGGGGAACAAAGGATGGCATTTGAACTCATTTTCCGTGGTTCTCACCCTGGGCTGCCCAGTGGAGCCACGCGGGGGAGGGGGGGAGCTTTACAAGACCCCATGGCCAAGCCGCACCCGTTCCAATAAAACTGGAATCTCCAGGAGTGGGATCCAGCCATCGTGTTTTTCCCCAGGTGATTCCAATGTGCAGCCAAATTTGAGAACCGGTGGAAATTGCTCAGGGCCGACAGTTCTATCCTTGCAGGCACTGCTGTCGGCCAGCAGCCCGTGTTCTCGGTGCCAGGCATCAGGCAGACATAATTTCATTTGACTCTTCCAGCAGTGCTGCGATGTAGACATTGTTAATCTCATTGTCTGCAGGAGATTGCAGGCTCCGAGAGGTGATGTGACTTACTCAAGGTGACCCAGCAAGTTAACAGGCACTGACGCCGCAGCCCCTGCTCCGTGCTGCTTCCTGGCTGTGCAACTCTGGACAAGTGCCTTCACCTCTCTGGTCCTGCACTCCCTCATCTGTAGAACCAGGGCTAGAGGATGCTGTGTCCACAAACATCATCCAGCCCTGCCCACCCAGCTCTCAAGTCAGCATCGTCACGAGGTAAGGCCCTCAAAGAGTGACAGGGGCTCCTTGAAAGGTAACAGGGGCAGAGAATGGACCAAGGCTCAACGCTAGGAGTCCTGGGCATGTCATCAGCATGGAGGATGAGCGGGGCCCCTTTGCTTTAGGGGTGGAATGCTCCATGTGACATGGCCTTCATGGACTTGAGCAATGATCTGAATGCTGCTGCAGACGTCAGCGCCCAGGAATTTCTGCCAAATGTGTGAACTGGACCCTGATACACGCCAGGCACCGTCCCTGGGCTTTCCATTCCTGTTTCTCTCCATCCTCGGAACCTTAGGAGGGAGAGACCATCATCCCACTTACAGATGAGGAAGTGGAGGCTCAGACGAGCTCAGCAAGCAGCTTGCACAGCAGGTCTGGGGAGCCCCCGGGGGGCCAGCCGCCCACCTTCACAGTAAGCCACACTTAGGGAGCAAACGTTTGTGGCTTTTACACTGTCAGAGGACAGGGGTTTTGTTGTTTGTTTTGTTTTTTACTTTTTATTTTGAAAGAATGATAGATTCCCAGGAAGTTGCAAAGACAGTACAAAGGGGTCCCACGTGCCCTTCACTGGGTTTCCCCCATGGGGACGTCATAGGTAACCGTAATGCAATACACAAACCAGGAGATGGATGTTGGTACCATGCGTGTGTCTAGTTCTGTTATTTTATCACAAGTGCAGATCTGATGCAGCCGATGCCCCAGTCAAGATGCAGAACCAATCCGTCGCCACAGTGATCTCCCTCCTGCCACCCTGTCATAGCCACGCGGCCCCCTCCTCACCCTCTCCCTCCACCGCCCTAGCCCCTGGCAACCACTAACTTAGAATTATGATGTCTAGTGCACGTAGTGGTTTATGCACATTTTCGTATCTGATTGCAGCTACATGCACTTGCATCTAGAATGAGGGTCCACCTAGTCACCCCCTGCATTGTGTCCCCCTTCTTCCTTGCTAACACAGCCCCCATTTGAGCAGAGTGGCCATGTGACATGCTTAATACTTGCTTTTCCAGCCTGCCTTGCAGCCGGGGGTGGTCCTGCAATGCTGTTCTGGCTCTCAGGATGTAACCAGGAATTTACCAGAAAGTTCTAAGGAAGCTTTAGCTTTCGCAGTCAGTGAGACCAAGGCCACAATGAATGATTCCCTCGCCCTGCTTGAGCACAGGCATTCCAGCTGAAGCCACAGCATGATGGAAACATGAAGAGAATCACGGAGAACACGTCCTGGGCATTGCTGGGCCCTGAATGAACACCGGTCCTCTCTGGATTCATTACTGGACAAAAAGAAAGCCTATTTTAGGCCAGTGGTTCTCCATCAGGGGTGATTTTGCCTTCCACAGACATGCAGCAACTTCTGGAGATATTTTTGGCTGTCACAGCTAGGGGGTGCTACTGGCATCTTGTGGGTAGAGACCAGGAGTGCTGCTAAACATCCTATAATACTCAGGAGCACCCGCCCCCCCCCCTAAGAATTATGTGGCCCCAAATGTCCATAGTACTGCAGGTGAGAACCCTGATTTCGACCCTTGCTAGTTGGCATTTCTGTTTCCTGCAGCTGAAAACACTACTGGCAGAGTGGCTGCCCTAACAACTAAAACTCCTAGCGCAGAAGGTGGTATAAGGAAGCCAAGCACCCAGGCACAGATGGGCAGTGGGGTCCCAAGTTGTCGCCACCACTAGTGAGGGCTGTCACAGTGATCAGGAGCTCAGAGGAAAGAGCAAACACAGAAAGGCTTTCTTCTCTGGACGGCGCTGCTGGCCTCTCCCCACCTGCCCTCCCCTCACCAACCCTATCCCAGTTGGACAACAGAATGCAACTTTTGATACAAACAAACTCCATTTTAATGTAGAAAACCAACCTCATGTACATACACATAAATATAATTTGGGGGTATAAATAAAGTAAGAAAATAAAAGAGATGTACATATCAAAATAAATTACTCATAAATATCACGTTGGAAAGTAAGTGCTGGGGAAAGGACTCTCAATATCCCCATGCTGCTGTCACAAATTGTTGGCAAGACTTGGGGCTTTCCAATCTTTCTCTTTCTTGGTTTTCGAGTGAGCTGTGCAGGGTGAGGCTGGGAAGCCCCAATCCACAGGATGGCTGGTGACGAGGGGCAAACAGAAGGGCTGGGGGAACGGAACCAGGTGACTCTCGGGACAGCTGCTGGATGAGCTGCTGGGACTGGCTGTCTTTACGGCCTGCGCCTCTGAGCTGGGGCAGAGGTGGACAGCCCTGAGCCCAGCAAGAGTCCACTATGTGCAGGGCACTGGCTATTGAGGTGTGTTGGGGGATACGGATAAATCATCTGCCTTGGGGAAGACTGTCAAGTGGTCCAGTGGAGTTTATCTATCCCACAAGCAGCCTTGTGGGAGTTCTCAAGATTTCCTGGGGCTGGATGGGGGTCTCTGGTCTTCCTCTGCTCCTGAAGCCTGGTGGGCTGTGCCTGTCCCCAGTAAGTTTTGGCTTGGAGGGCTTTGGGGAGAAGGAAGGGTCCTTGGGGGCTGAGATCTGGATCAATTCTCCCATAAGGCTGAGTCAAATTTACTGGTAAATGAGTTCTAGATGACTGATGTCTTCTGGCTGCCCCTGCTAAAAATGACAGAATTATAGAGAATTTCAGCCTGGCATAAGAATTTTCCCAAACAGAGTGAGTTCCCACCAGTGGAGGTATTCAAGCAGAACCAGGGCAGCACGGCACCTTGTCCAGCAGCCACCAGGGAGGGAGTGGGAGACTCGGGTAGCAGCTGGGCAGCTGGGGGGCTTACAATTTTATGATCGTCGAGTCTATCTGCTAGAAACTGGCACAGCCAAGTCAAACTCTGAGTATGTACAACTTACAACTTCTACATGTTGCTTCCTAAAGCTAAACAGAACATGGACTCAGGATAGTTCTTGTAGAAGTGCGGCCAGAGCCCACTCTGCAGGCACCGCAGGCGTGGTGTCCTGACCTCCGGGGGTGGTGGGGGAGGCCAGAGCCTCAGTCACTTCTGAAAGCTCGGACTCTTCACCAGCCCAAGTTTGGTGGCAATCCCAAATGGGTCCATGCTGTCAGTTTCCAGAGGCGAAGAGAACATGTCGGATTCCAAGTGGTCCGTGAGGTCCCCGGGCTCCACTGGGGTCAGCGGCAGCATGGGTAAAAAGTGGGACAGGGGCAGAAAGCCCCTGCCCTTGTACAGCTGCCTCTGCTTGGCAGTGCTCAGGGACACAGGGAGGCGGTGCTTCTTGGACTGGTACACGTTGTAGCCATCGGGGCGGATCTCCTCCTCGAAGGCACAGTCTTCCTCTGAGTACTGAGGCTGCGGAGAAAACAGGCAGCTGTGAGCACCAGCGGGGAGTGTACCCCCTGCAATTAGTAGTAGAGGAAGAACACGGCACTCATGGGCTGTCCCTCCCGGCCACCATCAGGGCTTTTCCATAGGAGCGTAACTTGCCTGCTGTATACACTTCCTTACATACTTTATATATAAGTATATGTAATACGTACACATTATATTTCTATATAACAACATATTAATATATTGAACATATATTCATATACCTTTAATACTTTCAAAAGACATACACGTATGCTTCAGGTGTACATTCCATATGTGTATATTTTACATATATACTTAACGGATATATATACACTTTATATAGATCCTTTATATTTTTCACTAAATCACTTAAATCGAGTCGTGTCCTAAGCAGTAACACCCACAAAATCTGAGGCATGCTCTGCATGTTTCTTTACATTAAATATATAACTACTAACCTTTTAAAAGTTCACCATGTTGCACTGGCACTTTGGGAAACACTGATAAACCATGTTATCATTTTAGGATAAGTCTTTTAATTAACAACTGCATGTCCTCTGATCTGGGTCCCACACTAAAGCATCTGTTCCCCATCTAGACCTGAAATAGCTGTGACCCTTTATCATTCAGAGGCTTTTTTGTCTGAGGGTTTGTAAGAAAAGAAATATCAACCCCCTCTGGCTCCTTCATTCACTTACTGAGAGCCTTCCAGGCAGCCTACCAGGAGCAGCAGGATAACAGCAGCCCCCACCCCCACCCCCACCCCCACCCCGGGACCAGGCCTGCACCCAGCAGGTGGCCAGATATGTGAGGACAGCGGGAAGCCAGTCCCTGGTCCCTGGTCTTAGAACATTCATAGTTCACAGGGCTGAGAGGTGCCAGTAGGCAAGTCTTCTCCCAAACTGGTAAGTGTCATTACTCCCTGGGGACACAAAGGACAGCCTAAGGCGGGGAGCCACCAGGGCTGGGCAGGAAACCCAAGCCCAGGACGAACTCAGCCTGACTTCTGCCTGTCTACAAAGGTCACTGGACTGCAGGTGGCTGAGCGATGTGCTGATAAGGCCCTGATAAGAGTCTAATTGCAACACCCTCTGCTCCCGCCCCAGCCAATGGCACCCTGGGACAAAGGAGCAATTCCTCCCGAATTTCCAAAAATGCGAATGGATAAACAAGTAAGATCAAACGGCTGGAGAGAGGCTTCTCTTTACTTTGCTCGGTTTGGGGGAGATATTAGCATCATCCTTTCTCCATACAGGAAATAAAATAATTTCAAGTTTCTATCAGAATGTGGAATATCTATTCAAAGGGGGGAAAAAATCTTTATAATTTGTGCTAGGCTATGTCCACCGGATCAAGAGAACGAAAAGGATTTTAGGCCAAAAGCCCCCTCACCAAACCTGCCCCCCAGTTGCCAGATTAGGGCAGAGTGGCCGGTTAGACGCAACGTCCCCAGCAGGCCCTCCCCCCGTCATAAGTAAATGTCAACATAACAAAGGTGGCACTGCGGGTTTGGGGCGGCTTCGGGTGTCAGCTTTCAGCGTGCCCACGACCTCCTTTCTTTGCTGTCCTTTCAGGCAGGGCTCCGCCATAAAACTTGAAACGGGCACTCTGAATACACGGACGTCGGAGCCACAAAACACTCTTGAGCCTCTGCAGCGCTTCGCCCTGCGACGCACAAAGGGCCGGCGGGGACGGGGACGGCGGCGGCCCCGCCTCCGCAGGGGCTCCTGCCACATCTGCGTCCCAACCCCACCGATTTCCTGGCAGGCAGACAGGAACTTTTAAACAATCTCGCCAATCCCAAGGGCACCGTTCTCTTCTCTGACTTATTTGGTAATTGACTTTTTTAAAAAGGCACGAGATATGAGTATATCCTCTGTTTTCTTTCCCCCTTTTCCCCCCGTCCTGATACTCGAGGGAGGAAACGGAGGCGAGGACCACACACGCGCAGGCCAGGCTGAAAGGGCCCGAGGTGGGTTTTCCTGTTTAACATCAAAGAGAGCCGAATAATAGGTTTCCTCCGCCAGGCCCCGCCGGCCCTCGCCGGAATGGAAACGTAAAGGCGGCGCGCCCGTTCTCCCGCTCTTGGCTGGGACCGTACATTTCCGTAGGGGGGGGGGGGAAGTTTGACATCAGCTGCATCGGCCCCTGCACTTTCTGCCTCGCAGAAACCCTGTATTCCATGCAGCGCGCCCGTCTCCCCCGCAGGTCCTGCGCCCCCGCGCGCATCTCACCCCGTGGGGACACTTACCAGCCCCTGCATCCTGCCGTCAGCTCCCATGCAGAGGTACCGGACGCTGTGCACGCCCTTGATGGCCACGGTCCGCAGAGCGACTGCCCTGATCTCCACCAAACCTGGGCGCAAGGGAAGCGAGAAGCTGCAGCCGGGACCCACGGAGCCGCAGCACGTGGGTGCGGCTGGTCCACGCGCCTGTTCCCCTCCCTAGCTCCCCGCGTTGCCTGGGGACCAGGAGAGGGATCTGAGCGTCGAGGTGCCACAACCTGGGAATCCCGGGAGTGAGGGGTCGGCGAGAACCGGGGGGGGGGGGCA